GAAGGAAGGAAGGAAGGAAGGAAGGAAGGAAGGAAGGAAGGATTCAAAATACTTTCCAAATAGCCAGCGCTTGAAGGACACAGTCCACAACCCATCAGGATTTTAAGATAGGATTCTAATAGCTAAACAATTTAGGTAGTCAGTATACTTAAAAAAAAAGGAATATTAACTTATTTTAAAAGTGAGATTTTCTGCTTAAATACAGAATTTATAAAATATAATTATTACTTTATTTAATAATTCTCACAATACAGTTTGGAAATCTAATTGGTACCAAGTCCTGGAAGCTGTGCTCCTAAAAAATCTTTTCATTTCTCTTACTCTAAACAAGGTTTGATTCTCTCCTGATGTCATTGCATAACTTTCAAATTTTAACATTGCTCAGGCTTCTTTCCCAGCCTCCTGAGAACCTTAAGTATTTGTCTCCTAACAGACATTCTAGTAGAGATGGCCCAATCTAGCACAGAAGTCAACAGACAGACTGTCTGGCTCCAATTTATGCCAACTGCTAATGTCATAGGCATTTGTATCTTGATATAGGGAAGTGTTATAGTTGATTTTGCCTCTCTTGCAATGTTGGCAATCTCTGGATAAGGCCCTTATTCCCATGAGCCAACAACCTGAGAGGCTTTTTTAATATATCTATGGTAGCAATACCTACAAGAAAAAAAGGTTTAAACATGATTACAGTTGGAGGGGGTTAACGCAGAACCATTCCTGTTTGGTTTTGAGTAATTTGACAGTAGTACTTAAAATGTTTGTTTCTTTACTGTCTCTTAATGTCCTTTTATAATATATTCTTTTAAAAATAATTGTTCACATTTCATTTTTCATATACGGGCTGATGCATGGAATTCATCTCATGCATGACTAATAATCACTTTGGAAGAAAAGCTGCTATGGTTTGCTACAGAATTATATTCTGTAATCCCTGGACTGTGGAGAATTGACATGAATTTGATATAATAACAGTGCATTGCTTAAATATTCAAAGAAGTAGAATAGCGCTTACCAGTTAATGTACTTTAAACCTATATTAATATAAAACTCTAAATATTCTTTGTTGGTAGGGCTGTATGAAGCTTTTGAGGGATAATTCAGTTTGAAAGAGATTTGATTGATTTATCCTTTCAAATTGAATCTTCAAATCTTCAGTTGGGTGTCTTGAATCAGGTGCCTTCAGAGTACATCAGAAAGTAAACCCTGCTGGGGGAATGCTGCTCTTCTGTCTCACTCATCTTGAATTTGATTAGGTTGGAGAGAGAAAAAAGGGACTTAGTATACTATTTTTTTAAAAAAAAAAATCCAATTTGCTCTTTCTTATGTGAACCTTTGTCTCTCTCTAAATTCAAACTCCTTACTGTTCCTTAACTCTCAACCTGACTGCATTTCTACAGCTTTTTAGTTCTCTTTTTCATTCTCCCTACTATTTCCCCTCCAAAGCAATTCTGTTTCTTTCTGCTACTTGTCTATATCTTGTACTGTATCAAGGAATCTTCATTGTCTGAGTGGGTCTGAGATAGTGTGCTTGCTGATAGACTATATATAATACAGAGTATCTCTAGATGGCATTGTGTATTATACATGCAATAGTGATAACATGTACATTTCTCAGGTTTGTTTTTAGAAAATTGTTGAACAAGTAGCATATAATGTGTTATTTTCAGATGACACTTTTTAAAAATTTATTTTTATTGAACTATGATTAACAAACATATTCAGGTACATAAATCCAACATGCATAGAGGGGGAAAAAGATATAGAATATACAGACAAATTACTAAAATGTAAATAGACAGGTACTATATATGTACAAATGTATCATATATATAAAGTATTGCCATATTATAGTCTGTTGCTATTGATGTAAACCATAAAATCCATCCAAATTTGATAAAATTGTGGTTCCTGCCTCTGATGTCTCATTATTTTAACTTTGTCTATGATTTTTTCTAATGTGGCAATTGAAGAGGCCTTGTTAATCCACATCTCAATTGTTATGTTATCTAGAGTTTTCCAATGTTCAGCAATTATTATTTTAGCTGCTAAAATTAAATAGATAATAACTTCCTTATTTTTAAACTTGAGGTTTGGTCCTATAAATAAATGCAGTAAGCCTAACTTTTGGGAGCATTGTTTAGTGATGGTACTTATGTCCCCCAAAATTTTACGCCAAAAAGGCATGACTTTATCACATGACTGCCACAAATGAAAAAAAGTGACCTTTTTTTTTTTTTGGACAACCTCTCTAACATTTGGAAGAATAATTTTGATATATATGTGCATCTTGACTGATTTGCATACCTCTTGTTTTTACTGGAATGTTATCATTTTATCCACAGAAGAAGTAGTAACCCACATTGCTCAACTTGTTACAGCAGGTTATATCAATCAGATATTTACCCTAATACATGTATTCTTTTTGCTGTTTCATTTTAACCATGGTGCTGTTCCTGGCTCTTTTCCTTTAATTCTGCATTAATCAGATGCATATCTTTTTAATCTGGTCACTTACTACATAGATTTTTTTAAATGAATCCTTGTTACAAGTTTCCTCCCTCTATTGGTACTTCCAAAGCAATGTAGTACAGTATTCTGTTAAGAAACTACCAAAGTTCATAGGGAACATCCTTCTGTAACTTCTTCCCCTTACATACCACTCTAGAAAGTTGGATTCTTCCAGCTGGAAAGGTAATATACTACATTAACTACAGTTGTGCTTTCTTATTTTTTATTTAATGTATTTCCATTCTGCTCTTCTTTATAAAATTCTGAATAATTTACAACATTATAAAAATAATATTTCAAGGTAAAAATAATTAATTAAAAAAGAAAGATGAGAGAGTATTAGTAGCTGGAGAAGGGCTGTAAAAAAAGATACATTTTTTTTCAAAGATGCAAGGGGGTGAATGTCATTGCACGAGATAGGAAAGGTCCACATCCATGTTTCATCAAGTAGAATCCACAATCTGTGACACACCTCCTCCCAAAGAATAGTAACTAGAGAGCTGATGTAACTGGATATGTTCTTCAGTGTAACCTGATATTCACTTTTCTGGGACCTTGAGCTATAAAATTCTATCAGTGACCTAGCTGCCACATTCTTCCCTAATTTTAGCTTCCAGATCTTTCCAGTGGCAGCTCCCCACAGAGTGCATTACAGCAATCTAATCTGGAGGTATTGATCATTCTTTTTTAACTAAAAACAGCATTATATTATTTAAAAAGAAGCAGCAGCAGCAAATGTGATTTGTAGGAATTAGGATGTGAATTTTTTATTTCCTTCTAAATTTACAACCCAACTTTTGCACACCTACTTACAACTCATTACCACTGAATAACATGATTATTTTCATGGGTAAGTGCCATAAGCATTTGTCTTCCTATTGTTTATCTATTCAAAACTTTTTTGAAAAATTCAAAATTGGAATTTTTTTCCAATAATTTTATTAAGAGTTTTAGATAGAACAATAAAAGAATACAAAAACAAAAAAAAATGTAAAAAACAAAACAAAACAGCCCCCCCAAAAGTGACTTCCCACCCTCAGCATGACAAGTATAAACAGTTCCATAATCTCTTCACCTCTTCTTATTTAGCCAATATACAACTCTTCATCCCATAACCCA